ATATTTATGAAAAAAAGGCCCTGCATGGAATTAACAGCACATTAGACACCACACACACAAAAAAAAAGATTAGTAAATTTGCAGACAAACCATAGAAACTATCCAAAATGAAACACTCAGAGAAAAAGAGGCTGGAAAAGCAAACAAACAAATGGAGCATGAATGAGCTGTAAGACATCGTTAGCTTGTATACATCAAATTGTAGTACCAGAGAGAGAGGAAAAAAGAGGTGAGGGACAAAAATAATGGCTAAAATGTTTCTAACTATAAAGACTACAAACTCACACATCCAAGAATTTCAACAAAACTCAACTACAGAAACGTGCAGCAATCTACACTATAACAATGATAGCCAAATTGGTTAAAATGAGTGACAAAGGGAAAATATTTAAAGCAGCCAGAGGACATATTATGTACAGAGAACAAAAATAAAGAATGGCAGCAGAACAAAGCAAGCCAAAGATATTAGAGCAACATCTTTAAAATGCTGAAAGAAAAATTTAAAAACTCTGTTAACCTAAAATTCTATATGCAGCAAAAATTTTTTCTTACAAAATGAAGGTCAAAAAAGAGAGATAATTTCAGATATACAACAGCTGAACCAACAGCCCTGCACTAGCATAGATGATAAATACTTCAGGCAGAAGGAAAATGGTAACAGGTAGAAATAGATCTACACAGAAAAGAAGAGCACAGAAAATGGTAAAATACATGACTAAATATAAAACAATTTCATTCTTGTTTTAAAATATCCAGAAAAATAGTTGAGTGTTTACAGTAAAAATAACAATGTTATTATTGAGTATATATGTAGGAGTAAAATGCATAACAACAATAGCATGAAGTCCACATATGGTGAAACAATTTTTTTACATAGTAATATGACAGTTTAGATATTATCAGTTTAACGAATCTTTGTCCCAAAGACCCCTACTGTCCACCCCTACCCTGTTCCTCTTTTAGCCATAAACCTTAAGCTTTAAATTCTAAGTTCACTACAGGTGACAGAATGTTACATAGTCTTTTTATATTTAACTTGATATGACTGAATAATCAAATGCAACAAAAGCAGTGTTTTTAGATTTTAGCTATTGATTAGAGCAAAATTCCACATACATATTCCAAAATGAGAAGAGATACTTTATAGCAGATTTAAATCTATTATTTTTTAATTAAAGGAATTTGATCTCTCTTCTTAGGTTCTTTCTTACCATATTTACTAAAAAAAATTCTATTTAATATTTTATCACTATAATTTTATTTTGTGTCTAAATAGTTTTGAAAGGTTCCTCAAGTACCTAACACATTTGTTCATATTGACATTTATCTTTATTAAACTTGTTAAGGAAGTCAGACAGTTTGATAGTGAACTTAATCCGTTTCCTTACTGCAATCTATTTTATAGTACATGTCTATCTAGTACAGTGCCTTCAGGACTGAATACTTATAAATTTGATTAAGATCAATGTATAAGAATTGCATTGAAATACATGTAGGATTTGCAATGGGGGATTTTACGTAAATAAAAAGTAAATATATATTTTAGATATCTGAATTTGTGCATTAAAATACATCTTTTTAAATCATCAGATAGTCAAGAAACTATTGGCTTCAAAAGTACCAGTATACTCCAAAGCTATATTTAGAAAACCATAAAATTAAAAATAAGCTTATTAAGACTTCTGCAAAGAAATATCAATAGTGTATAAAAGCCAATAATTTTCAAAAATATATATTTATTGTCAAATTCTGTTTATGAAGTCCTATATTAGAAAAATAACCTCAACTTTTATAAATTTAACTTAACTTACATTAAAGTACATAATAAAAAAGAAAAGAAAACCTTTTCAAAAAAGATTATTCTAGTAAAAGGATTACAAAAAGTTTGGTAATTTGAGATGCTATTCTGGAACGTATGCTACTAGTTCAAATGTGCAAGCTCCAACTTAACAAATGTTTAAAATATTTGAGTTTTTAAAACAGTGCCAAAATAAACCACATCTTTTCTAGAGATGACATATTTAGCTAAGCATGAGCAATATAAATCTTTCAACCATTCCATGTATTTATTTAAAAGCCTCAGAAACCACGTGCATTTCCAATAAAACATGAACAAAATGCTGAAATCACTGGAGCCTAACAGTTGATTTATAAATCAATTTTTAAAAAAGGCAAATGTATTTGTGTGTGTATAATATATGGATAGAAAGATAGGTTCATTGTTAGTAATAGTAACCAAAAACACAATAATATCTGTGAAAAATCTGGGTTCCATATACACCATATGTGAGAAGACAAAATATGTAAGTCATGGCTGTTTTATCACATAATGCCTTATTAATCATGACTATTTGAAAATAGAAACTTTAAGATGATTCTTAACTTTATTTGAATAAGGAAGTAGACAAAGCAACTTTATCATCGAAAAAGTAAGCAAAAATAAAATTAAAGAAGAAAAATAAGCAAAATATTTTATTCTATAAAGTATTTTAAATATTTTAATAATTTTAACATAATGGCCTATTTACAAAAATGAAATTCAAAACTCCCATATATTAACAATTAACTAATAACTTTAACTGCTTATACCTTACTTATAACCAATAACCTTGCTTGTAATTTGTTTTTATCTCTAATAGTTATTGTAGGAGGCGGAGTGAGCCTCGAAGTTCAGATTACCATGTTATAAGACTACACTGTCAGGTTTTAGTATCAGGCCAATTTAAAAATAGTACAAAGCCACTCAAAGTTATGTTTTATTAACAATGAACTGTCACAATACTCCTCATTAGTGAAGGCTGAGACAAAGCATGCTGCTACTCTAACACCATAGAGAGTGGGTAATAACGTGATGCTATTTACACATGCAGCTCATGTACATAATGTTTTGATTGTTAGGAAATTCATATGAATGTGTATAAAAGAAATGGTACAATAGTAAAAACTGTAAGAGTTAAAATCTTTAGTTTGAAATTTTTTTTCTTATAGAAAGTTTGGAGATCTATAGTTGCATGGAGTATAATTACAAGACCTTAGTTCTAAGTCCTAGCCAGTCTCTGGCAAATTCCGAGACTCTCTGTATGTTTCCTCATCTGTGTAATGAATTTAATAATAATAATTATAACAACAGTAATACTAAAATTATCATCATTATTATATGGTTGATATATACTTTTTATTATTAAATGGTTGTTGATAAGTTCAAATAAAAAGATGTGAAAGGACTTTGTAAATCACCAATTGCTACAAATGTTAGTATTATCATATCAGCTTTTCCTCTGAACTAACTTATTTTTACAAGTGAATTCTCATGTTATTATAGGAATTGGACTTGATAATATTTAAAGCAAACTCTAAGCAACACTTGTGAGCAGTGTGGAATAGTTCTAAAGTTGCATTAATATTGAATATATAGAGAATTGATCTTCAGTGGGCAAGGTTATTCCTTCATACAAAAAAAGATTATTTGGAATACTGTTGTTGAACATCTTTTAGTATAATAAATTAATTAAGATAATATTTGTCTGTAATCCTATGCATTTGTAATTTTGTAGACAACTCATTTTCAAGGGGATGTGATATTTTGGGGAGATTACTAATCAATAGTGCATGTTAGAATTGTTTTGTAAATTTAACTTTATCATACTCTATAAAAGTTCTGGATATTAATTGTAGAAACTGGTTGCTCTAATTGAATCATTTAGGTATAGAAAGAGATGTTTAAAATTATAGAATAACTTCATACTACACTTTGTGTTTTCTAAAACCTCAGTTAAAACAACTCAGGAAAAGTCAGTCTGTTCTTCAGGGCTGAGCTGAAAATTCAAGTTTACTTGTGATTTATTTTAAGAGGGTTCAGGAATGGACTATTTTGTGATAAGAACTGTTTCTCTTTACTTACCTGCACCTCATAGATGACTTAAAAGGCACTGTTTCTTCACGTAAGCAGCTGTTATGGGTTTCAATTAGAGCCAAGAGACAAGACTACATGCATGACCAAATTATTACAAATTTCTATATTTGCACTGTTGCTGTTCTATGAAAGGCTGTAATTCTCTTTAGGACTATGGAGCCAATCCAATTAGTTTATTTTTAACCTCTGTTGTCTCTTATTTTTTAAGTCTCATAGTTTAAAAAAATCATTAAAAGTAGGCAGTATGAGTAAATTGTAAATTTGAATGCAGTGGGATGATTGTAACTGCCAGTTAATTTAATGAATACAGATTTAATAAGGAAGAAATAGGGATTCTTAGCATTGTGATTCTTTTGTCATGTATGAAAAAGCACCCTAAATTTTCTTGCATAGTAAAACAATTTCAAATGAATAATCTCTGATGGCATATGAAAGAATGGTACAATAAATTGTCCTGAATATACTTATCCTGAAAATAGGTAATGGTAAGTTAGCTCAATCTTAAAAATGAATTAAAAATGTATGACTTAGAAAACTTTTCATTTGCCTACAAAATTTTCACTAATTCAGTTTCTACTTGTCTATTTCATCCTGTTTGAAGCACAGTCATTTTCTATTGGCCTCTCATCTGTTAAACCTAAAAAAAATGAAGGTATTTTTCTTATAGACAATTATATAAAATCTCAGTTCTATTCATAACGTCATATGACTAGAAGTGACTTCTGTGCTGTAACTATTTCATCTTTTAATGAAAAAATGAAATAAAAAGTAGGTAACATGAACCAAGTTGCAGGTTTATTTTTTCTGTCTTTATGTTTCTACATTATAATTTTTTATATATTATATATTGGATTCCCCTCCTTCACAACAAAAATTCAAATGTTAATCTAAAAAAAGGTAGTCAATAAAAATACTTAACAGGTTTGATGGTCTCTTGCCTTTTAGGACAGAGACATGATGGTACATGCTAATTTCCAAGCCCTAAGTGTCCTAGTCTATTAGACAAAAGGTTGGCAATTTCTACAGCTTAAGTTTAGTTTAGATAATTATCCAGACCCAACCTTAAAAAATATGAATTTATAAGTAAACATTAACAATTTTCTCTTTTTATTGAAAACAGTTTGCATTATTTGTAGTGAAACAAAAATCATGGCTTGATGAATGTAAATTTAAGGTACCAATCTCTTATTAAAGCAAATTATACATTTAATTCATGGCATCGCTACTAAATATTCTTTAATACTAACAAAGATTATATACACACCATGAAGGAAGACTATACACTCTTATGTCTGAGCTGTTCTTATCAGTTAAGAAATATACTCTATATTGAAAAATGCATGTATTTGAAGTTTTGACCTAACATAGTGGATTAAGGCTTAGACAATATTTACTTTGCTGCACTTTGATTCAGAAAGGGCCATATGTGAGGATATGATCCTAACCAACTTTTCCATGTTACTACAACAGTCTCTCAGCAAAAAAAATTTATATTAAAGACACTGAGATATAAAATAGTTACAAAATAAGCTGCAACCTTATAGCTACCCATTGGTAAAAATCTGTAGTTAATATATTTGGATAAATAACTCAAGTCAGCAGCAAAGTGGTTAAACATTTGTGATTTGATTTTATCTCGGCTTGGAATGTGGTTGGAGTGTCCCACTTCTAACAACTGTTTGCTAAGTTAAGGCTTCAGTGTTTACACAGTGTTGAATGAAGCAGCCTGGTCACCAGATGTGAGCTCTTCCCCAGACTGTCGTTTTTTTCAGTCAGATCACTGTCCTCATGGTCCCAGTTCCAACCTTTTTCCTCAGGACGTCCACCAGCCTTTCTAACCTAAGTTGGGGGTTGGGGAGGGTGGGAAAGGGAGAAAAAGAAAATAAAAAGTACAATTATTGTCAATAATGTTTTGGCTGAAAATGGACAGTATTTGCCTGTGACCAACAGCCCTCAATAGTCACGTTAAGAGACAAGGTATTACTGGTGCAGAGTGCCAAATGTTTGAGGTTAAAGAAACAGCAACACCACAAACTTTAACCTAGATCCTTGGATTATGTCAGTATTAGATGCCACATGAAGTATAAAAATACTCATTTCAATACACTTACCTTTTCGTATTAAGGTTGTGAATGAATCATTTACTGTAATGACAGGATGACATATTAAGTGTGGAAGAGTTTCAAATTGATTTTTACCTAACAGAAGTACATATTTCAACACAGAAACACTAGCAATCTTACACCTGTTACTCAGCTAAATAAGTGACACGTTGGTGGGTATACTGTACAACTCTTATGCACTAAATTCCTTTCTTTTTCATAGAGTCAGCTGAAGAAAATAAAGCCAGGCATTAAATGATTAGGTAAGAAAAATTTCATGTCCCTGTAGCACAGAAATAATTTAAATATAAAAAAATGATTTGACACTAATAAAATCAGACTTCTTGTTCTACAACAAGTTTCTATTTTTGAGTAGTATAAATATGCTAGGAATTACTAGTACAGGCTTTTTATTCAAAGAAAATTGATGTTTTTTAGCTGATTAAAAACCCACCAATTAAACTGAAAATAGAGTCAAAAGTTCAGAAGTCCATTCTGCAGTGTTTTTAGGTTATTCCAACGGTGGGAGATCACATTCATGTGGATCAGTGAGAGTTTTGTTTGACAAAAGATGATGGAATCAGACCATTAATTGGTTTTCTTGTATTTTCTTTACCGAAAGCATAAAACCTCAAACAAAAATCTTGCTTGATGTTACACACAAAGAAATCTTCCTTATAAGTGAAAATCATGCCCAGCAGTTTTCATATACACAATCTTCCTTCCTCAAAGGCTGGTAAGTGACATAGTCTAGTCTGCTCCACAGTTTGCCTCATTTATATGGATCCATGCATGAGGGTCCTTTGCAAATAAACACAGCACAGAGCTAGACACTAAAGGAATGAGGGTATTCTTAGTGCTATGCTAAGAATAGCATAATAGCATTGGAAGGTTCAGGAAGGAATGAAAAAATCAACTGCATACAACACAGTGCATACAACACTGAAAACTAGTTCAAGTTTATTGTATAATTCTGCATGTATTACAAATGCTGTTAACAAAAACCAGGAAAATGAAATAAAATAATTCAGTGCATTAAAAATCTTTGCTTTAAGAAAGATAGTAACAATGTTAGCATAAATACAAATTTTATCTAAGTTTATTACTACAAATTTATCAACTGTAAGTTATACATAAATATTATACATATACTATAACAGTCTAGTGGTATAAATATCTAAACTAGAGGATTCCTGGCAAATTCTTTGCATTCATAGATTAGTCTATATTAGTTGGACTTTCCATAGTGACAAAAACTAGTGCTATCTTATACACTCTGAATATTATGATTCATGGAATTACATGAATCCTTTAAGACAAAGTTTTATTAACTTGAATTGTGGATGAGGGGGGAAGAAAAATGTTAGTATAAATTACAGAACTACACTATAAAATTTTAAGTTTATTGTTAAAATATGACAGTAACTTGAAATACCTGTTAACAAATGGTTCCCAGTAGAAATCTAGATAAGCCATTAATAGCATTTCTCTTCATATACTATTAAAATCAGAATAAATGCTTTCAAGTTGGTTAAATATATCCCTTCCCCATAATATCATTTACACTACTAACTAGTAAAAAATTTTTTTCCTCATAAAAGTAAAGCTCTGCTTTGTATAGCTATTATTATTATTGTTACAAATTCACAATCAATGGAATCCCAAATTACTGGGGTGAATGTGTTGTGCTTCTTTTGGCTTCTCCTTTATAGACTGGTTCATCTCACTTTTGTTTTCTTTTTATACATTAGGACATCTTTTCATTTAGAACTCTTATATTTTGCTATGGTAAGAGATTAGGAGGAAATACTTAAATATCATGTTTTGCAATGTCTCCACTACATTTCAACAATTACTAGATCAACCACATTCTCAGTTTATCCAGGTTGAATGATTTATGAAAATTTGATCTCAGAAATGAGAAAAATGTCAATTACTTAGTTTTGTAAAAGCTTACTAACTTCTGAAACACAATGAAGCACCTATTCCTTCCTGCAAGGAATGGAATACACCTGCCAAACATGGACTGTGCCAACAGGAAGATAGATGTGTGGGTCTGTTGTAGCACCTTGCAGGATTTGCCTGCAGGCTATTCTTCACTGTCCAAATCATTAATATTCTTTAAAAAATTATGTAGCTCACTAAAATAGGCTCCAACTGCTTTACATATTACTCAATGATATCTTCCTAAGGGCTTCATGAAATAGGATAAGGGCTAGAGCTAGGATTAGGATTTCTTCATTTTAAATAGGAAGAAACGGAAGCACAGACAAGTAAACTCTTATACAAGGTTCTGAGACACAACAGTGACAAACTTGGGCCTGGTTTTCTTGTTTTTAGTTCAGAGCTATTTCCATTAGGATTTGGGTTACCAAAGACCTACAGATTTTACATTATAGGTTAATGGATCATTTGTGTTAGTTGTATAACTAAACATTTTTCCTCAAGTTCTTTAGTCAAATTGGAAAAGTATTTGCTGGTATATTTCACCTGCTATTTTAATAACAACATACTATAAAAAAGTAAATTCATGTCATTGTCCATAATTAGGAAATAAATAGTTATAATCTATTATTTGCTATAATACAATTTCTATATAAACTTGAAAATATATTTATAGTTATATTTTTGACAGAAATCCTATTTTTAAAAGTCCTATTTTTTAAAAGTTAAATTATTTTTATATTTCCTATGTAATTATATAATGTGTATGTCCTATAATGGAATGATAGTTTTCCATCACATAAATGAACTATAAGTTATTTATCAATTTTCTTAATTTATTTCCATGTTTTACTTTTTTTTTTTTTAGAAATGAGGTCTTGCTATGTTGCCCAGGCTGGCCTTGACCTCGAACAACTAGGCTCAAGCAATCCTTCTGCCTCAGTCTTCTGAGTAGCTGGGATTACAGGTGCATACCACTGCACCCAGCCATTTCTCATTCTTAATGAATATTGGATATTATGAAAGGCAAGTAATATTTGATGAGTACTGACTATATGCCAGTAACTATGAGAAGTCATTTATGCACATATTAATTTCCATTATAACTGTCTATTTCTCTTCATACACTATAATACCTATGGAGTAGGTATTATCATTAGATGACAAAACCAAAGCATATAGAGGGTAATTTGATCAGAACCACACAGCTAGTGGGTTTTGGAACTCGGGTGTGATGCTAGGTCTAAGTACCATGTCCTTGACCTCTCCAATGTGCCATACTGCTTCCAAAAATACTGTGACTTTTAAGGCTTATTTCTAAATTTTCGTGTGCTTGAATTATTCTTATTGACTAGATAATTGTATTGCAAAGAGACAGAAAGGAGTGAAAAGTGAGAAAATTTCTCATTATCAATTGAATTGTACTAAAGTAAATTATTCACTGTAGATTCCATTTTTATTTCTTTTTTTTGTTACTTTCATTTTTTTAAATTCCATTTTTAAAAATGATTTTTGCATTGTCAATGTCAGAGTAAGAGAATTCTTATTTGCTAGACAACTTTTTCATCAGAAAAAGCATTCCTATTATTTAGGCAATGAAGTTGCTCCATCAAACATGTTTAGCTTTTGTTTGTTTGTTTTTAAGGAGAAAGAACCAGGGAAACCCAAAAGATATGGATAACAGCCATCCTTCCAGCAGAGGAGACAAAGCCACTGAAAATGCTGCACCTGCCTGTTGCCATTAATATCAAAGATCTTGTCCTTTTTCAATCATGGCAGAAAGGTGTGAAGATTTCAAATATAATTGTTTTTCTTTTACCATCATAGCTGTTTTCTTTTGCTGGTCTTTTATTTTATTTATTTATTTTTTTTGAGACAGAGTCTCACTTTGTTGCCCAGGCTAGAGTGAGTGCTGTGGTGTCAGCCTAGCTCACAGCAACCTCAAACTCCTGGGCTCAAGCAATCCTTCTGCCTCAGCCTCCCAAGTAGCTGGGACTACAGGCATGTGCCACCATGCCCGGCTAATTTTTTCTATATATATGTTAGTTGGCCAATTAATTTCTATTTATAGTAGAGACAGGGTCTCGCTCTTGCTCAGGCTGGTTTTGAACTCCTGACCTTGAGCAATCCGCCCACCTCGGCCTCTCAGAGAGCTAGGATTACAGGCGTGAGCCACCGTGCCCGGCCTAGTCTTTTAAATATTAACGTATTTTACCATCTTTTCTTTATGCCTTTCCTACTTTCCTCAAGAGATGTTATTTGTTCATTTGATGCCATTTAAATGCTCATGATTTCCAAATCCAGACTCACTTCCCCAAATTCTTTTCTGAATTTCAGACTCACATATCCAACTGCCTTTAAGACACCTCCCCTTCCTTATACCTCATGGGCACATGATACTCAGCATATCTAAAATAAAACTTACTATTTTACATCCCATGCATGTTTACATTCCATGCATATTTCTTTATTTTTTATTTTTTTAATTTTTTTATTTTTTTTCCCATGCATATTTCTTATCTTGATTAATGTTGCCATTCATTCATTCACTCACTCACTCTACCTATAAACTGAAAAAAATTTAGAAAAACTTGGTACATTGTATTTTTCCCCCCTCACTTCAGCTTGGACCTCTGAAAACTTTGTGATAAAACTACTAATGTAGACCACTAATGGGGAGCAATAAAAGGGTCTTAACTTATCTAGTAATATCAATTACATTTTAGAAAGATCACACTGGTAAGAATGTAGCTAGCCTATAGGTAAAAAGACCAGATAGCTCTTTACAAAAAA